TAGAGACTTAAGTCACACCAAAAGTGATTTCTTTCCCCAAATGAGCAATGAGGTATTTGTGCTCATCTCACGTTTACAGTCCCGGGCCAGCGATCGAAATTCCACGTTACTATGGCAGGGACGAGCCCGTGGATAGGGCAACCAACCGTTGAGACTTTCCTACAAAGTGGTACTCACAATATTCCCTCTGTATTCGCGAAGGGATGTGTTCTGGTGATGCGAATTTTGCGGATAATGATATTTGCCTACGCGAACCTATTGTTTTAATTAATCACCTCAAATAAATACGTAAATAAATACGTAAATAATCTATTAAATACATGAACATGATCTCATTAATTGATCTCATCGCTTTATCGTATCACTTTCTCTCTCATCACTTTCTTTCTCCCAATCTCTCTCGGTGCATTCCTGTAGAGTTCCAGATGTGGTTCGTGGATGGCCAAAATCGCGGATAGCAAGTTCGTGAATAACGAGGAAATGCTGCATATCATCAACACCAAAGCGACGATTGGGGTTGAGGAGACCACCCACATGCCAGGACTGAACCAGCAACCGTTCCAATTGTGAATCTCACGGATTTTTATTTTCTACCGCTGAGCAATCCCGGGCCAAACACTCGAAGGACTTTACCAACGATAACGAGAAGGTAGAGAGAGAACATTTGGGGGTGCCATTACACATTGGAATATGTGCTCATCATATATCTGGAGAGAGAGAGAGAAAAAAATCGCATTAGAGCGATGATGATAATAGTAATTTTGCAATGTGTTGTGCAGTAAACTTTGGGTGCGCGTTCACAACACGACGATGCATTTATCTGGTTCATGTGACCTCCATTATGAGCAATTATAGTTGAGGATTCTGCTTGCTAATGGATCATAAAACGTATTTTCAAGAGAGATCATAAACACCAGCATTTATCAAAGGCTGTTAACCCAGTGGTGGTGGTGAGGCTTATTTATAGCACCAACATTCGTGTGAAGTCATCCATCGCACGTTTTTGGGAATAATTCTAAATAAATGTCCTTATTTTTGCGGGTGTACCAAACGCGCGCAAAGTCACCCCGATTCTACTTGTTTAAATTGTAGCCTGGGGCTTATTGTCTTAAACACAGCATGGCTCCTTGTTACGCTGTTCATAGCAAAAGGTGAACATGAAGGTTAATAATTTGTTTGTTTACATTAATTTAAATGCCTTCCGTGAAGGTTTAATGTTCTGCAAGCAATACGTGTGTTCTTTATGTTTTTACTTTGCGTGCCGATCACATTACACGAGGTTTTAAAAAAGAACATTCATGTTTATTTTACCCATAACTATTTATCATTCCAATGTTTTGTGTGCTATGCACAGTCATAAATACTGGACCAAAGGCGACGTTGTATGAATACTTTAAATTGGCATTAGATGAAATCAACTGGGACCCATTTCTTAAATAAAAGGAAACCTTGTCCATAAACGTATACTTATTCTAAATTTTACATTCTTTAGCCCCTGAGTATTAGTTAGACTTTGTAATTTTAGTATAGTTAGACTGTATACCACTTATTTAAGTTTTAAGATTCCTACATGTTTAATGTATGCACCTTCCTGCCATAGTAAATTCCTTGTTTGTGCAAACTTTCACGGCGAATAAAACCCTTTCTGATTCTGATTCCTGGTTGGGGATTTCACCAGCATTGGTTCAAGCAAGCCTGGGCACTGCTGATGAGACTTTGAATGCCAAAACCGGTCCTAAGTGTGTGTTGTATTGAAGCCGTGCTGCTTCTAAGAGGCACTCCCAAGAGGCTCTGCAGCTGATGGTTTGTTACAACAAATATTTTACTTTTATACGTGGAAATACAGATGTGGGAAGTAATAAAGCATTACAATAATTTCAGAATCAACAACATTATTTCTGTTTTAGGCACGGTCATGAATACTGGATCAAAAGCTGCTTTGTTCTGAAAATCTTACCACCAGCAGTAGATTGAGAATGCCACGACTACCACGATAGCAGGGATTTACAAATAAGCCCTGGCAAAAATACAAGTGCTTGTTGGCTCTGCGTTTGGCATTTGAATAGAGAGCCACGGCAAATATAAAGCAACTCACCGGCAGAAAGACAGGACGGTTAAAAATTAATAGCAGGTCTGTTTCCTCTTTCACTTCACAATGAATAAATAATAGCAGGGGCCAAGATATCTGCAATTGCGAAGCCGCTCGCTTTCGCAGCTCGAAAGGGGCATACTTGACCATCTGTTGTAAAAAAAAATCTGCAGACACTCCCAAAGAGCAAATACGGCTAATGTGTTACACGCTAACGCGCATTCGGCATGAAGTGCTTTGAGACATATCATGTTTTAACATTGCGCATTCATATTCTTGGTTCTTTCGGTAAAGTCACGTAGAAAGGAAATAATAAAATAATACCAATTAAACGTAATACAATTCTCACGACGTTTCGGCCACAACGCAAGCATTACGTATTAAGTGGGAAAGGTGGTGCAGAGTGGACTTGGTGACACGTAATTGTCGCCGACACCAAATCCTGAAACATTGACTGCCAGCCAATGAAGAATCGAGCCACGGATTTCTTTTTTTTCAACGCGACATCATTTGTGTTTTGAATAAAATGTTTCGACGATGATTATCAAACGGTGGGAAAACTATGGGGGGGGAATTGCACCCTGCCAGTCAAGCAGGAATCTTGACGTTCCCCAGTGTTAGGACGACCGAAATCTCGTGGGGGCTCTACATTTAATGAAGATAATATAATTATACAATCAAGTCAAGAAAGCTGTTGGGGCCTGGCTTCATAAGGATATCACGACAGGAATTAAATCTTTTTTCCACCCCTTTTGCTCAAGAGTCTGTGGAGAATCTGATTCTTGCCAGCGGGGGTTTCATGAGCAGACAAAACAAGAATTAGTATCGCCTGGCAGATTTCAAGCCTCTTCCCCCCTCCCCTCTCTCTCTCTCTTTCACAGTCATGCGGAATGGGAGCACATGGGAAGAGACGTGCTACCGTGGCATTGGGCTCGCCCCTGTCAGCATGCCGACTCGTGAGCAAAATGCTTTGGAGTACTCGACAAAGGGAGAGAAAAAAATCAATATAATAGCGGGTGCTTAGTGGAATTTCCAAAAATACACCATCCACAACTTGGCATTCTTGCTGACAGTTGTGTGTTGTGCGTTTCTGTAGGTGGGGGAGGTAAAGAAATGCAATTCCAGAAGATCGCCACTGAAGATTTGTGTTGCGAGAGTATTACGCGATTAATTTATTTTTCACGTGGCAATCTACGTGAAAATCCATCCAAACAGTGGCTTGATCGTAGCCTGCATTGTCTCTGCTGCTCACTGTCCTCTCACAGCCGCTTAACTTGCTGCTGACACTGTTAACGTTGCACACGCGCACACACACACACACCACCAATTAAAGACCATCTCTAACAGGAACTCACATGGTAGGAAATAGCTCACAGGCTGCGAAGCTGACGCAAGTTACGTAACAGCAAAAAGCAACTCGGTACTGCGCCTATACACTCGAAAGAGTATGAATAATTTGTATTCATCACGAGCTTATTCATATCTGAAGCAGTCGCTCCTTAGTCAGCCTCCACCCTCTTACCAACCTGCACTGACCAGAGAGACGAAGTAGTGTTAATGGTCAAACTACCCCCAGTATCGCGATGGAGCAGTGACGCTGCAGTGTCAGCTTGCTGTGAACCCAGGAACCTGAGTTAGATTCCCAGCCAGGGGTAACATCACTGGCTTGTGATATCCGAACTGGGCCCAGGGCGCATCACACTTAACAAAACAGCATCGACCTGCATGGTGAAGTATGGTCAAACTGCCCCTCCTCTCTTCCCCCATGACTGGCACAGGATAGGGGTGGGCCTTCATCCAGCAGTGGATTGACAAAGGGCTGTATACTGCATTATGAATTATGAGTAGGTTTAAGTGTCACGAGTTGGCATGCTGTCACATTCTTCAGCTAACCGAGCAGCGCTTATGCTCCCACTGTTAGATGTTTGCCATGTGCATGCATAGAGCGAGGCGAGCACACAACCCGAGTGAGTACGCAAATGCTCTTAGTAATGTACACAGCCACATTGGCAAAAACCTGTTCCGTTTACTTAATCGCGTCCAGATGTTCCTGCGTTTGATGGCAGCGCGGGTACATTGCCAAGCTCCACACTGTTCCTGCATGAGCAATATATCATAAAAATGTATTTGCAAAACTAAAAAAAAACTCAACAGTTTATACGCACACACCGTTTGTATTTGTAGGAATGCTGTTCATATATTGTAACTCGCAATCGTTTACAGGAAGTAACTTGTGGAAAGGGTTAGGAGATTTATATATATATAAATAGATTGCCTGTAAACTATTTTCAAGTAAGTGAAAAATACTTGAAATCTGAGTAGGCATTCAAACCGCACTGAACATCAAAACACGGCTCACATTTCCAGCTTGGCTTTAATCTTATTTACAAATGGCACACGGGTCTATAACATAGCAATGAGTTGAACGTGTAGGAGGGCTTTCGCCACTAATATGATCCATAACAGACGTTTACAATTCTGTCTGTCCGCCTGATGATGCTGGTTGTAATTTACTGGCGAAACGTCGGACTCGAATTTTAAATGTTGTGGGTTTACTCTCCAACACTCGGGTGTGCTGAAACTAGTAACGAATTCGTTAACGGAACAAACCTTACTAATTGGCTGTGTCGGGTGGTGGTGGGTTTAACGACGCATTTATATTCACGCGATTAAACCCAAAAACCTCTATTATGGATAACATTGCCAATGCTTATGTACAGCAAACACGGGCACTGTAGCATATTCCTGAGATGCACGCTTCTCCACTGAACAATCCGCTCATAATCAAATTTCGGCCCATCATTTTCTCACAGAGCGTACATATTACGCAAGCGTACGCTTCGTATATATATTAAAATCCGTGACGTGTAATAAATTCGTGCATATGAAAGCAAATTCAAGGAAAACTCACCCAACGCGTCTTGGCAGCAGCTGCATCCACATTGTAGTTATGGCAACGTCAAGAACGTATCCAGTAAGCGTGGTCCTAGTCTGTGTTTTGAAGTCTGTATGTGCGGGTCATATTAATGTATATTATAGACTGTCAAAGACCACAGATAGAGCATTTACAGACCGTTGAGCCCAAGCGCTGTTAGCGAACACCTTTTACGGCCCTACAACATCACACTCGCCTGACCGCCTTTGTCTCCCCAGCGCTGATGTCCCACACACGCGCGCACCACACCAGACACTCATTAAGTGACGAGTCGACGTAGACGTTCCGGCACCAGAGCAGGCTCAGAATTGTGATCACGGGCTCCTACTGTTGCCCATAGCCGCGGCCGGGAATCGAACTCGGGCTGCGTGCTGCTTGACGGCTCGGTCCGCTCACCGCTTGCTCCGCTAACACAAAAAGAATGCGCAGAGATTCCCCGCGTTACAGCCTTGAACAGACTTGTTGGGGCAAGTGAGGCTAGCGAAGCGGCCGTATCAAGCACCGTTACCTACACGCGCGCGCACAGACACACACCCAGACAGACAGAGACCCACGCGCTTGAGGCCGAGACAGCGAGAGAGAGAGAGACAGAGATACACGGAGAGGCGAATGATCGAGGGGGGAAAGGCTCTTCCGAAGTGGCTCCTCCATTCAGCAGCAGCAGCAGCACTCAGCTCGCGTCGCTACGGGAACGGATACCAAGCCGAGCCACCCACCCCCTCCTCCTCCATCCCCGTCTCCATCCTCCTCCTCCTCCCACGGTCCCCGCCTCCATCGCACCCCCAACCCGCCTGCGTGTCAGATCCGCCTTCTAGCCGGGGGAACTTAAAGGGCAGGGGCGTGTGGGGCGCACGTGTGTGAGACTGTGAGTGTGTGAGTGAGTGTGTGAGAGTGTGTAAGTGTGTGAGTGAGAGTGTGTGAGTGAGTGTGTGAGTGTGTGTGTGTGAGTGTGTGAGTGAGTGTGAGTGAGTGTGAGTGAGTGTGTGAGCGTGTGAGTGAGAGTGTGTGAGTGAGTGTGTGAGTGAGAGTGAGTGTGTGAGTGTGTGAGTGTGTGTGTGAGTGTGAGTGAGAGTGTGTGAGTGTGAGTGAGTGTGTGAGCGTGTGAGTGAGAGTGTGTGAGTGAATGTGAGTGTGTGAGTGAGAGTGAGTGTGTGAGTGAGTGTGCGTGAGTGTGTGCGAGCGTGTGAGTGAGGGTGTGAGAGTGTGTGAGAGTGTGAGAGTGTGTGAGTGAGTGTGTGAGTGTGTGTGTGAGTGAGTGTGTGAGTGTGTGAGTGAGTGTGTGAGAGTGTGTGAGAGTGTGAGAGTGTGTGAGTGAGTGTGGGAGTGTGTGAGTGAGTGTGTGAGTGAGTGTGTGAGTGTGTGAGTGAGTGTGTGAGTGAGTGTGTGAGTGTGTGAGTGAGTGTGTGAGTGAGAGTGTGTGAGTGTGTGAGTGAGTGAGTGTGCATGTGTGTGAGTGAGTGTGCGTGTGTGTGAGTGAGTGAGTGTGTGAGTGAGTGTGCGTGTGTGTGAGTGTGTGAGTGAGTGTGTGAGTGAGTGTGTGAGTGAGAGTGTGAGTGTGTGAGTGTGTGAGTGTGTGTGTGAGTGAGTGTGTGAGAGTGAGTGGGTGTGTTAGTGAGTGAGTGTGTTAGTGAGTGTGTGAGTGAGTGTGTGTGTGAGTGTGTGAGTGAGTGTGTGAGAGTGTGAGTGAGTGTGTGAGTGAGTGAGTGAGTGTGTGAGAGTGTGAGTGAGTGTGTGAGTGAGAGTGTGTGAGAGTGTGAGTGAGTGAGTGTGTGAGTGTGTGAGAGTGTGAGTGAGTGTGTGAGTGAGAGTGTGTGAGAGTGTGAGTGTGCGTGTGAGTGAGTGAGTGTGTGAGTGAGTGAATGAGTGTGTGAGTGAGTGTGTGAGTGAGTGTGTGAGTGAGTGTGTGAGTGAGAGTGTGTGAGTGAGTCTGTGAGTGTGCGTGTGAGTGAGTGAGTGTGTGAGTGAGAGTGAGTGTGTGAGTGAGTGTGAGTGTGTGAGTGAGAGTGTGTGAGTGAGTCTGTGAGTGTGCGTGTGAGTGAGTGAGTGTGGGAGTGAGAGTGAGTGTGTGAGTGTGTGAGTGAGAGTGAGTGTGTGAGTGTGCGTGTGAGTGAGTGAGTCTGTGAGTGTGCGTGTGAGTGAGTGAGTGTGTGAGTGAGAGTGAGTGTGTGAGTGTGCGTGTGAGTGAGTGAGTCTGTGAGTGTGCGTGTGAGTGAGTGAGTGTGTGAGTGAGAGTGAGTGTGTGAGTGAGAGTGAGTGTGTGAGTGAGTGTGTGAGTGTGTGAGTGTGCGTGTGTGTGTGTGAGTGTGCGTGTGTGTGAGTGAGTATGTGCTTATGGCGAGCGGTTGTGCAGTGGTCAGCGTTCTGCGCTACGAACCCGGCGACCCGAGTTCGCCGAGTTCGCTCACGGACCAACACCCAGTGACGATTATCTCAACCGGTCCCGGGCCTCCCCTAGATCAACTCAGCCTCAAATGAGTACCTTGTGCGAAGTGTAAACATCGCCACTGGGAAGACAAAGGCGGCCGGGCGTGGTGGTGGTAACCCACCTCTTCGTGTCCCATAGGTGCTACTCGCTAACAGCACTTGCCCCTACAGTCTGTTAAGGCTACACGGTTAATCTTTGTTTATGTTGCTCGTAAAAGTGCATCGAACTCCCGTAGATTGCCGCTCACGGCCAACATCAGTGGCGAAGATCTCAACCGGCCCTTGGCTTCTCCTAGGTCCACTCAGCCGTAAATACGTACGATGCGGTGTGTAAACGTTCACACTGTGCTCTGTGTTCTACATTCACGCGAAACGTAACCGGCCTCAATGGGCGCACGCTAACAACATTTGTCCCAGCAATCTGTACGGCTATATATGGGTGTGTGTGGACGGGAGGGTCATCTTTACCCTCACACACATAGACTGTTGGGGCAGGCGTTGTTAGCCAGCTCAAAGGATTGGTGTGGCCGGAACCAAGCACGGTCACCTTAGTCTCGGTGGTGATGAGCATCGTCTGTGTAGGGACATGTGTGGCTAATACTGGTAGGAACCTCCTGGTTACACCAGCCCACAGGGGATTATTGTGTCCGTCCGTCGTGCAGGGAGGGGCTGGGTTGGGAGGGAGGGGCTGGGTGAGGAGGGGAGGGTGGGGAGGGGCTGGGTGGGGAGGGGAGGGGAGGGTGGGGAGGGGCTGGGTAGGGAGGGTGGGGAGGGGCTGGGTGGGGGAGGGTGGGGAGGGGCTGGTCACCCCGTGGTGCCCTTATAAAACTCAACGTTTAACCTACTCACGTCGGCTTGTGCCCGCCCTCACAGTCGGGCATATTTGCGGAATACACCACGCCGCCGTTGACCCTGGCCATTGACCGAGCAACCCAACGTTCCTACCAGCTCCCTCCGCAGGAATGTGTCCGTTGTCTTTGTCCGCCCGCGTGTGTTTGTTCAGCGTTGTAGTGCTGATTATAATGCGCACTACAAACCCGTCAACCTGGGTTAGAATCCCGACCACGCACACAATCAGTGGAGATTTGTGTTGGAACCTGTCCTGGGCTTCCTCTAAGTCGACTAGGCCTTAAATGAGCACTTGCTACGGTGGGGTTTCAAAGAGATTTCCTTCTTCTTTCGTGTGGCATTGTGAAAAGCAACAGTTTTAATTTTTTTCTTAACGATCGTCATTAATGAATGCAAATGTTCCTCATCCAGTCCAATGATGTGGTTGACGCAGTGTGGATTTCACCGATACTGCCAGGATGGGCATGGATGGAGCATTCATTGGTGATGTGCTTGTAAGGACTTCTACACAGTCGCAGTTGGGCGAGTCTTTGATCTTCCATTCGTGGAACCTGTACGCGCATGTGCCGTGTTAAATGATCTCCTGCTGAAAATGATATGATACAGCAATCGTGCTGTGACGGTTCCACCTGAAGACGGAAGCTTGTGTTGCCTCCGAAACGTCGTGATTTTTATTTTACTTTTATTAATTTTTATTAAATTTTTATTATTTACCTACGTGACTTTACCGAAAAAACCTAAGAGTATAATTGAGGCGATGCCCATCTTACGTTTACAGCCCTAAGGCAGTGATGGATATTCCACGTTCCTATGGCAAGTGGCAAGGTCTCTGTATAGGACACCCACGGTTCACTCACTTAAAGCGGTACTCATTTCATAGGCCCCTGGAGGCAACCACCAACCAGGATTTGAACTCGGAAAACTTCCAATTGCAAGCCGCTCGCTCTACCGCGAGACGCTAAGATTGGTGTGGGGACATTACAACACCCCATCGTGTGACATGCTGACTTTTAAATAGGTGCTTGGTGACAGCATTTGCCCTGACAGTCTATAAAATTACGTGAGATTTGTATTATTATATTTTTTTGCTCATTTGCATTGCCGGAGGTCGATGAGTGTGACACGCAGTAAATGATTGGCCACGATTCACAACGGAGTCATGGACACTTTACTGTTGAGAGGGGAAGCGATTATGATTATACCACAGTTGTGATGAATAACAATGTTTATGGGCAAATGATTGGCTTCTGTGATTGTCAGCAGCCCGATGAAGATGATAATTCGCCATAATGATGAATAGGGTTAAAGAGGTAATTATATATAAAAAAAATCGACACGCCATTTAAATCTAGAGATGCTAGCGTGGTCGACACACTTGATTTGCAATCCAAAGGTTGCTGGTTCGATCTCCTGGCAGAGCAGTTGAAACAATGGTGCAAGTTTCTTACATTTCCCTGTCTTTGTCTATATCCAGCAGTATAAGTGAGTGCGCTCCAGTTTCGTCAGAGGTGCGGGGGAAGGACAACAAACTAAACACAAAAAGCAGTTCTAAATAAATGAGTTTGTCAATCTAGATGATGATTGAAAAGTGGCTTCCTAACGTCGGAAGGAAGAGCGTTCCAGACGGCCACAGAAGCGCATCTGGAAGCGCCGCGTAATGCGGTGACCGCCGTCTTTGTTTGACGGTTCGTCAAAAGCCGCTACGGGGATGACCAAAGTGTGCGTGATGGTGCGGTGGGTCCAAAGCGTGGCTCCTCCCATCTCTTCCGAGATGTCTGGCCGGCATAGGCAGAGTAAGCCAAGCGACCTCTTAGGGGAATCTCTGAAGCTCCTTCGAGTAGAGACTCCTGCAGCAGCAGCAGCGGTGGCGGCGGCGGCGGTGTCGTATGAGCGAGCGATCACAAGGTTGCACGTTCTCCTTCACCCCTTGACGCAGGCACATCGTCCACGTGCAGGTAATAGCGCATGCATAGCGTCGGCCAAAAGGTTCACGTCCATATTCTGGCGCGTCGCCACCCTTTGATTCCCCGCGACGGCTGCACTTTGTGTGCACGTAAGAAATGCCCTCAATATCAAATGTGGCCACATCAAAGCAACGCCGTGACAGGCCAAACAAGAAATGTCTTCTCCGCAGCGCAAACAGCGCTACAACGCCGCTCCTGTTCATTAGTTGGACGCGATCAGTGGGGCTCTGTTTTTGACAGCCACTCGATTTCCCGTGGCACAATATCGTTAACTCCCTTGGTAGCGGATGCCACGAATTGACGTAAGTGATAATAAGCCCGGGTCTACTCGCACATACCAAATTACAGCGGTCTGTTTATAGCCTTTAACCCTCCGTTGCTCGTGCCATTGTTTTCGTCAAACTTGCTTGCCAC